TAGACTTTGTTTTCATGCTATTCGGATAGATAACAATAAGACATAAATGGATAATCATATATTAAATTGGAGGATTTGGTACAGGAATTCAAATTTCTTGTGAAGCTTTTTTGTGAACAAGATGACCATGTCTTAAAATAGCTGTGCCTTGTGAAGAGGGTGGGAGTGTTTACTTCTGATAGCTGGTAACCATTACAAAACAGCCCTCAAGGTAACACAGTTGTCCATTTTCTCTGCTCTAGTGACCTAAATGTAGGAAGAGATCAGGCTTCACTCAATGTATGGATTAATTAATGCTTGGAAAGCTTTCAGTCAATTGTCTATGATGGGTGACCAGTTGAGTGTTCATCAACACTTTTGAATTATTCACTCTTCACTCCAGAAAAGTTGTCAAGGTTACCTCTGCCATCGCCCCACCTCTCCCCCTGGACCAGCGGCCCAGCAATGCTTGTCCAATCTTAACAAGCTTTGTGCTACCCACTGGGCTCTGATTCAGCACGAGACCCGGCAAATCCAATTACACAGGAGTCAGAGAGGTTGATTTTCCCATTATAGATTCCATGCTGAGAATGAGAGCTGATGATAACACTCACATCAAACCACTACTGCCCCCTCTCTCTCTCTCTTCTCTCCTTCTCATTTTGTCTCCATTTCGCTGTTTCCCTCCCTTTATTTCCCCCTCTCTTCCTATCTAATTCCTCTTTTTCGAAAGACCTTCTTTCTTCCCCTGTCCCTTTCTTTGGATCTATCCTTCTTTCATAGTCCATTATTCTAATTTTTCAGAGCACCGTAACGAGGCCCCGTCATCATTTCAGACCCAAAATGCGGGTGTCAGTGAGGTTACTTCATACCCAAAATTGGACATTTCTTTTTACTTATGTATTGTATATGTCTTGGTTAATAGACGAGAAGGATATGCAACATCATTATGCCGTTGTAAGTACTTATTATGTCCCAGTTTGATGTACTTTACCTTTAAATAATACATTGCATTACACTCGATTTGACCATTTTCTTCACCCATCACCCGCTTATGCGCCAGGAATAAAATATTTGTCAGCTCAAATAACCCCTGAAAGGTCATTGCAGAAACTAAATGCACAGTAATTCAGACAACTTGACTTAGGGGTGTCTGAGTGCCATCCTTAGGGGACACCATGTGCCTGCTGTGACACATAAAAAAGTTACTAAGAGCTCTTTTGGAAATGAGGCTCTTTTAAACTCAATCGAGTGTAGAAAAGGAAGAGGACTTCTGCTCCATCTTTACCCTTTAGGGCACTTAAAAGGACTGACCTCGCCTCAGACCAGAGGCTTTGGTGTTGACACAGGTCACTCAAAGGTCAACGCCATTGACCTCTCTAAACCTTCAAGATATGTTCTTCTGTGATCCTGCAGGACAATAGGGAGTGTGAAGTCCAGCAGTCTGTCCGGAGAGGTCACCTGCAGTGTAGGAGAGAGAATGGTGGGACCTGGAGGGGCATTCAAGCTTGACAAATATTGGCTAATGCTCTGAAAACTCATGGTTTTGAAGTCTGGCAGTGGATAAAGAAATATTTAATACAATGTGAAAATACTCCATTTGAATTAAAAATCCTAAGTAAAAGTGCATAAGAATTAGTTGCAAAACATACCTTAAGTATCAAAAGTAAAACTATTCATAATGTAGAGAAATGCCCCCTTTGAAAGATATATTATTATATATTATATGTATTTTTATACATATTTTAACTATTTAATATATTATTGGACAGAATAATCTATAAAAATGTATCATATCGTATAAGCTGATCATGTTGTATTTAAAATCTTAATCTGTAAAAGTAAGATTTCCCTTTGAGTTGCAGTGGAGAACTATAAAGTAGAACGAAATGGAAATACTCACAACATTCCACTTGTTTGAGTAGCAATCCAATAACGAGCATTAATTAGTAGACTGCATCAATGCATCAACTTTTGTGCATTAAGTGGACATCTAAAAATGTCACCAAATAAAACAAAAACCGTCTACATGGCTTTACATTGCAAGGGATTATATGTTGCTTCTTGTTTTGGTTTGTGATTTGGGTGAACTGACCCTTTAATAGAACTTTATTATATCATAACTATAACAGTGTTGAGTTGCACTTAAAGGATTTAACTGTTCCATTTCGACTTCTGTTAGCACACTATCATAATACTGTATAGAAACAAAAGAGTTGAAAGACGATATATAAAAACTTTGTTGTGACATTTGATCATTGTTTTGTCATGTCTTCCCTCTGTGAAGGTGTAAATACACCCAAACCTGATGTAAGTCGTGTCAGACTGACTGACCTTTGACAGGACAACCGGAGGCCTGACAGTCTGCTCCGGCCTCATTGGAGCCTTTGGCAGGACACTGATGCTGCACCTTGGCTAAGCATGGCTGACAGCAGTTTCCACTGTGTGTCCAGAGGGTCACTCTGGGTGACACCTTGTTCTGGGGGACACTGTGTCTCTGCCTGCAGAGGAGATTAGAGGGAGCGAGCTGACCTCGTTCTCAGGGGGGCTGATGTGTTTTCAGTAAACACTTGGTGCAAGACAAAAACACAGGCCAACCCTGAGGCGGTGAGCCCATTGTTTCCACATTACTCCTGAACAGGCATGAGTGAGGAGGGCCTTCACTGTGTGTTCCTGAGCTGCAGTGAGTCCTCGTGCTCGTTCCTGAATGCATCACACAAGCTCTCGGAGTCATTGCCATTGACTTAATAGTCCGAAAACAAATACCCAAATAAATAGATAAATAAATAGCACCTTACTTTTTAATATCACCACTATGCTAATATCGACTAGAGGCCTGCATAGGTGCACAGGGACAGAATAATAAAAACACCTGACAATAAAAGATATACAGTACTTTTCAGAAGCTCATAATGTGGCTTATCCATTGCATAACAAATGATGGAAAGCAGTAAGAGGGAAACAAAAGAAACCTTCACTGGCAAAGGGAAACAGTTGACACAAGTAGAGTAAATCTTCATCAACATTTCCTGTTAGACCTTTAGCTGTCAGGGAGTGACAGTGAAAGGTCTCACGGTATGTCCAGAGCTTTGTGAAGTGGTGTGGAGTGAAGACTGATCTAATCTTATCTAATCAACTGTATTTACAGAGGTGAATACTAGTAACGATACAATAGACGAACACCATACAGTAAGATATGCAACATGATATTTGGTTAACACTACAAACTTAATTAAATTGATTGACAATAAGTCTACTACCTAGTCTTACCGAAAACAGATTTTCAAACTTGCTTTTGATTAGTGCTGTTATATTGTATTTCCAAGAGGGCTGCATTGATCCATTTTCCACTAATTTTCTCCATGAATCAATTGATCCATGATTGTCTATAAAATAGTTTTTTTAAAGCGTTTTTTTTTTTAAATCATAATTTCCTTTCATCATATTGTTTTTTTTTTTCAGACCAACACTCCTAAACCCAAAGACATTCAGTTCACATAAGACGAAGCACATCCTCACAAATGAGACTAAATGAAATGTTTTGCTTTGTTGTTTAAAACAATAATCAAATTATTAATCAGAATAGGTGACGATTATTTTACTGTCACTCAACTAATTGCGTCTGCCAGTTGGATGTTTCTTTTGTCCAACCCCTGCAGCTGGCACTTACTCAGACTAATATATGAATGAACTGGTTAAGAAACATCTGGCTGAAGTGAACCTGTGGCAGTTTTAGGCTGCGCAATGTTCATCCTGCTACTGCAATTATACCATCATCATCCTACTGTTGACCTACTGTTGCCTTCCATACACACTATGAGCACACAGATCACAACTCCGCGGGCTTTAGGACCTTCAGGATCTGCTCTCTGAGGATGGTCCTGTTTTTGTCCGTTACGTTCATGCATGTAATCATTGATTGTGCCTATTGTGACAGGCCGATTTACCATCTGTAGGGTCCCATGGGGCTGATACTGCTGCTGTCACTGCAGTCTCCCTACAGACTTCAAGGAATTCCCCTTTAATTTCCGGCTGCAAATTTAAATCTCCAACAGGTTTCACAAGTCTGCTATATATTAAAAAAAAAAACTTCTTGTTTCATCTCATTCAGAACTTCAGACGTTTTCACTTGTCGACTCCAGAAAGATTTATGTCATTCCTGATGTCCTATCGAATCATAAAACAGATTAAAGTGAAATATTTAAATTGGAAGACAACCCATTAAATGTTTCGTTAATCAAACAATCTAAAACTGTAACTTGTCCTTTGTGGGGAGTGGACCCCTGGAGTTCCCATGAGGACCCCTGGGGTCCATGAATGCCTGCGATCAGATTGGCCTACTAATGTATTTCTCTCAGAAATCGTGGAATATGTAATTAAACAAACAAATACAAACGCCGAGAGCTGCTTTTCAACACTAATCGTCTTTTTGCATACAAAGACGAATCCTCCACCTACGGACATGGGGGGGGGGGGGGGGGG